GAGACGAGACGGAGAGAGGAGGAGGGAGATGAGGAGAGAGGACGGAGAGAGAGAGAAGTACGAGAGAGAGATGAGGACGCGAGAGAGAGAGAGAGAGAGAGAGAGAGAGAGAGAGAGAGAGAGAGAGAGAGTGAGAGAGAGAGCGAGAGAGAGAAGTCGATGACGGTGACCTCGACGCCGCCGGGAGTTTTCTTTACGCACACGTTGTCGTTCTTGACGTCGTTGTGGCTCGTGTCCCGCGCGTGGACGGCGCGGAGGGCCTCGGCGATCCCGGCGGCGACGTCAACCCACTCCTCGGGCCTCAGCGCGGCGCCCTGGCGGAACCAGTCGCACAGGGCCGGGCCGGCGAACTCGGTGGCGATCATGGCCCGCTCGGCACGCACGCCCACGAGCCGCTGCACGCCCGGAACGGCCCCGAGAGAGGCCAGGACTCGAGCCTTGCTAAGGACGCCTAAAGAGCTGTCGAAGTCCTAGGAGAATTTGACGCGTGTGCATGCATATGTGCGTGTGTGTGTATGTGCATTTGTGTGTGTGTGTGTGTGCATGCGTCAGTGCGTGCGTTCGCGCGGGTGTGTGTGTGTTTGTTGGTGTGTGTGCATGCGTCAGTGCGTGCGTTCGCGCGTGTGTGTGTGTTTGTTGGTGTATGTGCATGAGTACACGTTTGTGTGTATGTGTGTGTGTGTGTGTGTGTGTGTGTGTGTGTGTGTGTGTGTGTGTGTGAGTGTGTGTGTGTATGCGTGTGTGCATGAGTACGTGTATGTGTGTGTGTCTGTGCGCGTGTGCGTGCGCGTGTGTGTGTGTGTGTGTGTGTGTGTGTGTGTGTGTGTGTGTGTGTGTGTGAGTGTGTGTGTGTGTGTGTGTGTGCATGCGTCCGTTCGTGCATTGTGTATGTGTGTGTGCGTGCCTACATGTGTTTGCGTTCGTGTCTGCCTTCGCGTGTCTGCGAAACCGCTTGCAATGCATCGCCTCTCGTGCCGACCGCTGTGTCCCGGCGCCATTTTGTATGACAGGCCAGCGAATAGGGGGGAAATCAAAGGAATAAACGACGTACATGACAGAATTTTTGTTTGTTTGTTAAGGGTTTGTGCTTGAAAGGAGACTGGTAGAGTGCATTTGAAATATAATTCATTGGCATGGTATGAAGAAATATATATTTATACATGTATATATATGTAATATATATATATATATATATATATATATATATATATATATATATATATATATATATATATATATATATATATATATATATATATGTGTGTGTGTGTGTGTGTGTGTGTGTGTGTGTGTGTGTGTGTGTGTGTGTGTGTGTATGTATATATATATATATATATATATATATATATATATATATATATATATATATATACATATATATGTGTGTGCGTGTGTATATATATGTATATATAAATATTTGGGCGTGGGTGTGTATTCTTTTCTTTTTTTTATTTATTTATTTTTTCTTTTCTTTTCTTTTCTCTCCTTTCCTTCTTTCTTGTCATTATGGGGCTCGTACTTGAAAGGAGACTTTTAGACTGTCAAATCAAACCTGCAGTTTGAGTGAATACTTGTCGTATCAGGGGCTTTAGTGCGTCGAGGCTTGAAATAATAATCATCCTTACTATTAGACACCATTTGAAATGCATCTAAAAAAAAAAAAAAGGAAAAGAAAAAGAAGAAGAAGAAAAAAAGTTTATCAAAAAGGATGCGCGCGTCTCATCTCCGTTCAAATCGGCGAGCAGAGATTTCGAAGCAGTTGGCTCGAATCCGAGGAAATTTCCGTCATTATGAAACTTCCCTGATCTAGGATTGGTAGGCAAAAGAAAGTATATAAAATCAATAAATATCTAAATAAATAAATAGATAAATGAGTCGGGAAAGACGGAATTAGAGATGTGAAGGAACGGACAAAAGGAGTTAATGATAATGATAATGATAATGATGATAATAATAATAATAAGGATAGCAATAAGGATAATGCTAAAATCAGTGATGACAATGAAGGTAATGGTAATAATGATAATAATAATAACAGTATTAATAATAATAACAATAATAATATCATTATCTTCATAATGATAATAATAATAACAATAATAGTAATAATAATAATAATAATAATGACATTAATAATAAAATTATGATAATAATGATATTAGTAATGATAATGATAATAACAATAGTAATTATAATAAAAAAAAATAATGATGATAATAATAATAATATCAATAATAATAATAATAATGATAATAATAATAATAATAATAATAATAATAATAATAACAATAAAGATAATTTCAATAATAATAATAATAACAACAATAAAGAGAATAATTTTGGTAATTTCAAAATGAAATCCAGGAGGAATTCGAAACTGTAGTCTGACTTTCAATAAATCTAGTTTTGTACTGTGGGTTTTTCTACCATAGTATAAACACGGAAGAGTGTTTTACCATTCTGCATAATGATAATGATAATCACAATAATAACAATAAAAATAATGATGATTATGATGGAAGAAAGGGAGAGAAAATCGAAGAAAAAAGTAAGATTATATGAATAACTAATGAACAATTTCTGTTTTAAAGATTCCCACAGGGCTGCGCAATTTCCGTCACTAATGCCATTTATCTGCTTTGCCATGCATCCGTTGCTCTGCCATCTGTCCTATCCCTTTCTATCCCATCGTCTGTTTCCATGCTTTCATCAGCTCAACATTCATCTGCCTGTCTGCCCTGATTTTTTGGCCAAGATAACCCATTTGAGTGTTGCTTATCATGCAAATCCCTTGATATAAACGTTATCTGCTCCCAAATTGGCCTGCCTCTTGCAACCCTCCGTTAAAGACACTTGTCTATTGTGTCGACCAAGACCAATCGCGGCAAAGACAAAATGGCGCCTCTTCCTCTGCCATTTCGTCGACTTGTTTAACACAGACCGTCGACTTGGTAGTTTTGTTAATAAGAATTACTGGGGTTTGATCAAAATCTATTGACCAGAAAGCAAGTTTATTTCTTCCATTCGATAAAAGACGTTGATGCCGTAATCACTACTCATGATAAGGTGGTGTGTGATAAATAGATAAATAGATCAATAAAAAGAAAAGTGAATTCCATCAAGAGCTAATAAATAATATTTTGCGGAGGTAATTTCGGAATCCGATATCAAGTGGTTGTTTGGCGCCACGCTGTCTGGCGGCGCTCTCTCTCTCTCTCTCTCTCTCTCTCTCTCTCTCTCTCTCTCTCTCTCTCTCTCTCTCTCTCTCTCTCTCTCTCTCTCTCTCTCTCTCTCTCTCTCCCTATCTATCTATCTATCTATCTATCTGACACTTACATCTCAGTCACAATCTGTTCTCGGCTCTTTTAAACTACCAAGTAACGACAAAATCAACATCACTACTACAATTTTACCAAGATAACACCCACACATCGCATTAGTGTGCCACAATTTTACATGCGGTCAAATAGTAATCGCTTCCTCCTTGCTTTCTGCATTTCCTCTCCAAAAAGTGCGAATGGAGAGGGAGTCACGTGCACATGGAAAATACCTTGTGCAATAGTATTCTCATTACATGGCTGAGGTAAATTGCAGCGGTTATTCGCTTTCTCTTCTCATAGTGGATCGTCGTCATAGGACCGATTGACATTTAAATATGTGCGTTAGCTTTGAAATGTTAAAAGTCTATCAATAAATGTCTCATAATTGAAAATAGATAACAATAGATATTATATAAAAAATCTGAACGTAAACTTTATGCTTTAAATGCATAAAACATATCGCATAATTGAATTTTGTTAAGAATATTATTCTCCCTTAGGATATTTTAACTTTCTATGTCACAAACCTCCTCATTAAAATTTTCAGTGTAAAGTCCTTCTGTTGTTATCATATTCCTATATAGC